CCAGATCTATCTATGTGCCAAGTTTTGTGAGGAAATAGTGAACTGTTTTAGAGTTCTGCTCGAAAAAGAGACAAAAGTGCAGTGCACGGACGGAGTCCATTTTAATACTCCCATAAAGCGTGTTGCGGGGATAAAAAGAACTATTCAAGTTGTTGCATGTCCTTAACAACGAAGGGAGGTAACTCATCATGGCAGTGCCTACGGTAGCTGATGAAAGTTGTCTAATCCAAACTGCTTTACAATCCGGACAAATGAGTCAGTTCCAGGCCAGTCCGTAATAGACAGATTCCACTTTAACTAGAGACAGTTTCTCAATTGGTCATGTGACTGTTTCAGGTTTTCCCCATTGGTGTATAACTTCATTGGTCACCCAAGATAGCACATATGACAGCTAAATTTTATTTGCATGATGTCGACCATTGATTTATTTAGACAACAAAGAGCAATCAATCAACATATTGGTGGTTAATCCTTTGATGGAAGGACATTGTTTTTACACAGGCACTTTACGACAGTATTCAGTGTAAGTTACCTTTTGACAAATCTGCTGTGCAAGATAAATGTAATTAATCAATTATCATGTTATCGGTCAATCCTTTGAACGATACTTGTTTTTTAAATCAGCTGATAATTCCTCTTGCTGCATTTCCATGCACATATTACATAAAATGTAACACATTTGCCACATCAGACCTTTAGTTATCATGTTAAGTATATACTCCAGACATGAGAAATGCTACATGGAAACCTTTGTTGGGTAGTCTGAGTGGTGCTACCAGACTACCACTAATTATACTTGTAATAAAATCATTAACTGACCACCCAGTGAATGATGACAAATAACGTGTAGGTTTATGTCACGAAACATTGGCTACAGCAAGGGAGTATTAGTTGCTGTACTGCATGCAAATTTAATTTCCTAAAAAACTAATGGGTCAACGCTGTTTTAAGGATACGAACAGAACTTCATTGTTGCATAAGAAATACATATAAGCATTTGCTGTACACTAAAGTTAAAAACTGTATACTGGTATTTACCTAAGTAAATTTTCAGAATTTTCCAGCAATGGCAAAGTGAGGTTTGATTTAGTTGACAGATTCAAATAAATCAAATGTGTTTTTAATATCATAGGTCAATAGACATCACATTCAGGATTGTTACATGACATGATAATATATTGAGGTGAAAACACAAAAACAGGATCAAATAGGATCAGTCATCATACCATCCAGAAAATCAAAACAGAAAAGCGTACACTGCTGGAATACTTTACTACAATCTCACAATTATTAGTGCTGGAACGATACATCAAACTATCGATAGATTGCAATTGTTAAACTTGAGTCTCCGATAGCAATTACGATGGTTGAAACGAAAAACTATTGATGCATCGATAATATGTGTGACTATCGATAGTTTAGTAATTGACTTCTTCTGATAAACTTCATAGAGCAAAATACAGGAAGTACCAGATTAGTTCACAGTTATCTGCCCCTGTTACTTCTTAAACTAACATGGCAGCAAACACCGCTTGTGTTTGAAATTGTGAATACCAATAGGTTTAAGTTTTAACTGTTTACTTGATCTGGGTGTCTTGTCAGTTAAAAGAGACTGAAACTACTTTAACTTGTGTTTATTTTATACATACTATACATTCATTTGGGAAATGACTTCAAATGAGACAATTTAAGGAGAAAAACCATATTGCAATGCAATAGTTGGTCTCAATAGACTATTGCTATAATATGTTGCAATAGTAGTTGTTTCCCCCCTCAATAGTCACCACTACAAATAATACCAGGGGTAAGTTCAAATAACGGCTTCAACGCCAACAACAACCAACACCTAAAACAACATATCAGTAGACAACCTGAAACGTCAACGGTGAAACTTCTAAAGCGGATACATCCATGTATAAGAAAATCCGAAAAAGTCTACCCAGCTGGGATACTTTATTACAATCAGACAATAACTGCTGGGGGCATTTTCAAATAACGGCATCTGATGTGAAGCCACCCTTCGTAATGTCACACTGTTTAGGTTGAAGAAACTGTGCCAATGTGGACCGTTACCCAGTCCCCATGTACGTCATTGTCGAGGGAGGGGCGGTGGGGTAGCCTAGGGGTTACAGCATTTGCTCGTCATGCTGAAGACCCGGGTTCGATTCTCCACATGGGTACAATGTGTGAAGCTCAATTCTTGTGTCCCCCGCTGTGATATTGCTGGAATATTGCTAAAAGTGATGTAAAACCAAACTCAGTCAGTCAGTGTTGTCTCTTAGATTTTGTTATGACCATCAAGTCTGTTCAGTTTCATTTGTCCTGGACCCATATATAGTTTATGCCCGCAGATGAACCAAATTTTGAGGACCAAAAAAGTTGTCCGTAGAAAGGAGTCGGCTTAAGTTATCTAAAGTTTACAAATTCATCAAACTAATTTTTCTGGTGGTAAAAAACCCGACAATGTATCGTTTTGTGTGAACGGACAAGAGAAAAAGACTTGTCGGATAAAGACGGCCCAGACGTCAAATGTTGATTTAAAAACATTGAAACCTTTTAATGGTAATGTTATGGTATGTGTGCCATTGTTGAATTCCCTTGAGATGCCCTGAATTTTCACATGGTTATCAGCATTCAGTTAACGCTTCAACTTCATTGTCTTGTGATTGTACTGATTTTTTCAAGGTAGTTCCTGTGTCTCTTTGTGAAATGTGAAACATACTTGCCAATGCCCTGCAACTGGGGCTTGAAACGCAAAACACTGTCATCAGGGTATATATTTTCACTGACAGGGTTTAAGCTCTATATAAAAGGATGATATAGTTCTAAGTGACAATATATACCATGTATACATTGCAGTTTTCACGAATAGCGTCTCAAACAAATCCGTCAGATTAGCCGACGGTCCGGTGGAAGTCTACAACCCGACTGTATATTTCACAATGACCTTGATTGAAGTTGTCATATGTGGCACGTCACACTTGTTTGCTGTTTATAAATTTTACGTTTTTTAATAATTTCAATGCCAGTTATAAGAAATGTTAAATCTGAAATGTGTTTTTAATTTTTATTCTATGGGTCCTGTGAATTTTCAGTGGGTCAGACAGACATCTGAAACTCACAGGACCCAATGTTATGTTACTTTGAAACACCATTCATGAACACTGCCTTGGTGCCAGTTTTATTTGCGTAGCAAGCCCCTGTGTGTCAACGTTCATTTTCTTCAAACATTTTTGGAAGAGATACTGTTTACTGAGACAAAAATGCATTTGGAACGGGCATGGACATTATAGTAAAACAATGAAGGTCAATGATCATGATCGATATTTGTTACTTTAGATAAGAAAAAAAGGTACACATGCATTATACCAGATACCTGCCTGCCATAGTTAATTAGGTCACGTGATGCGAGCGCGGAAGGTGAAAAAAATAAAATAACTGAGATGAAAATAACCCTAACCCTAACTTAACCCGGTGTTGTCCCACGAGGCCTAAAATTATTCAATTAGGTAGGTACAGTTCATTAGGCTATGTGGGACTTCATGCCTCACTGGTTTTATGGGATTACGGTGGATTATTGCTGGACTGGTCCATTATTGACCACAGAAGGGGTGAATCATAAGAAACAACAAAAATCAAATATGATTGTGAAATGTTTATTTTAACAGTGATTTATCATTTCTGTATTACTGGTTTTATTGGATAAGGGTGGACTGACCACAGGAATCATAACAACATATTATTAGGTATTATGTTATCACCACAAAATCTGTATTATTTAGCATATTATCACAGGTGACAAAGTGATATGTTTATGTTTATTGTTATTCACTGTTCCCAAACACCAAGTAAGTGGGATACTGAGTCTGTGTAGTACAGGACAATGATGGTGCCAGTGTTTAGCCTGGTCTTGGCTCACAGCAAGCCCTGGTCAACTTGCTACATAGCGACGTCTCCTTGCTGGTTCATGTGTATGACCTCTCTACTTTGTCAGTCTCACTTCGGTCCTGGACTGCTCACGCTTGATCAGCTTCATAAAGTCAAATATGTCTAATCTATAGCAAGTTTCAGCCTTCTCATGTTAGTTGGAGAAGGAAACTGATTAATATCCACTTCATGTAAATACTCCTCCAGCAATAATAGATCTAATCTTATTAAGATTAACAGTAGGTAAGTGCTTTCATCTATCAAACCTTAATGTTTTCACAGTAGACAAGTCTCATTACTAAATAAACTAACCCTAACATAGTGACCCCCGTCCACTGATCAGCCTCTCCAACTCTTGTCTCACGCCCCAAATACCTTATTAATTATGTCATGTGGGCAAACTGTAATTAGGCCTTGTGGGATTTATTAGGTGTGAATTTTAGGCCTCACGGACTGTCACCCCTAACCCTAACCCTGCTAGGTATCCGGTATAATACATTCTAGCCGAACACCCCCAAAAAAACAAAAACAAAACAAACAACAACCCCCCCCCAAAAAAAAACGGGCAAAAAAACACACAAAAAACAACAAAAACAAACAACAACCCAAAAACAAAAACAGAACTTAAAACTTGAATAAGTACCTTTGGCAACTACACAAATACCAAATGTTATTTCAGTTTAAACAAAAGTGGCCTAGTTATGACTACAACAGATTTTTCAATATGGCTGCTCATATTTAGTTTCCGTGTTCAGTTTCATGTCCTGAGAAAGGAGGTCGGTGGAAATTAGATCGGTAATATTTCATTATTGCAAATATAGAAACTAGAATCTGTATGCCGAGTTTCATTTCCTGAAAAGGACACCAGAAATGGGATTCAAATGTTGTTCGTTCGTTGGGAGGCGACCCTGGGCGGGGTTGTCTTCAACCGACATTACAGAACATTTCAAAGTTTTCTGTCTGCCACTTCTCAGTCTCAGCTCGGTCACTAGCCAATAATCTTCGCCATACAGATTCCAAATCCATTGTAAACATTACCAGTTGATTACACACACGTTAGTGAACCTACTCACGGTACAAGACTTCACGAAATACGTTGAAAATCTTCAGGATGTGTCGAAGTGCTGTTGTCGTCTGTTGCTAAGGGCGGTTGACAGCGACACCTCCCGGCCCAAGGTCGTCTGCCATCCTACTTTCACTTTCGATTTCAATGTCTGGAAGATCTAACGCAAAAACGAGTTTACTTCCCGTCTCAAGTCTAATCCCATCACATGGATGCCTCGAGTTTTTATCGCCATATTCAATATTGATTTACAGGCTCGCTTATTACCAGGGATAATCTACAACTATTTACGAAACCTTGAAAATGGAAATACCCGAGCTATTTATAGCCACGTCCCGCAGTGTATGTAAATAATGAATTCCATTGGTTATTTTAACACGTCATCATTCCATTCGTAACTACTCGGGTCATTCCGGCAGGTAGGTCACGGAAAGAGGCGAGTAGTTACGAATGGCCATCATTCGTGACCAACTCGTGTTATTCCGGTTCCATTCGTGACCAACTCGTGGTATAGTGTTATTCCGAAAAGCCGAATAAAATGGAATAGCGTATATCTTCTTGAACGTCATTGTATTTTGCTGGTTTTGTCGTCACCTTGGACCAGACCTTATATTGCGCAGAGACAAGCCAATACTTCAAAAGGACTTTCCTGGCATGTCGAAAAAACAAAGTAACATGATTATTGGACGAAAATCGATTTTTTATATAATAACGCGCCATTTCTTAAAACCTACATCGGTGCGTGTTTCATGCTGAGGTTATATTGTTTATTGTTTATAGCAGGGAGACTATATATGTTGTAGATTATCCCTGTTTAGAGCAGGGAGACTATATATATGTTGTAGATTATCCATGTTTAGAGCAGGGAGACTATATATGTTGTAGATTATCCCTGTTTAGAGCAGGGAGACTATATATGTTGTAGATTATCCCTGTTTAGAGCAGGGAGACTATATATGTTGTAGATTATCCCTGTTTAGAACAGGGAGACTATATATGTTGTAGATTATCCCTGTTTAGAGCAGGGAGACTATATATGTTGTAGATTATCCCTGTTTGAGACTATATATGTTGTAGATTATCCCTGTTTGAGACTATATATGTTGTAGATTATCCCTGTTTAGAGCAGGGAGACTATATATGTTGTAGATTATCCCTGTTCAGAGCCAGTATTCCAGCTATATGGCGGCAGCCTGTAAATAATCGAGTCTGGACCAGACGATCCAGTGATTAATAGCACAATTTGAAATAGATGACATTCATGTGGGCTTGCCCACTATTCGTTCCCGCTAGGCTTATGGAAAGCATTCGATAGCTGAATGTATTGGTATAGTTTAACGCCGCACTCAGCAATTTTCCAGTTCTATGGCGGCGGTCTGGAAATAATCGAGTCTGGACCACACAATCCAGTGATCAACAGTATGAACATCTACGCATTAGGGATCCGACGACATGTGCCAACCAAGTCAATGCTCCTTCGACCACCTCCAGCCGAACCCGTAATGATCTGGGTTAGAATTGGTCTTCGCTCCATGCTTGTCGTAAGAGGCGATTAATACAACGGGATCGGGTGCGCCTCAGGAAATATGGAATTTACAAGGGTCTTACAGTCCCTTAAACCACCAGGGAAAGTAATGTCTATTGTTCTTTGAAGTGTTTTATTAGCATAACTGATTAACTGACCTAGGGCAATTATTTCTATTTAAAAACACACATAAAATTGTACTTATTTTGATAATCTTCATCATGCCTAGTACTTTACACGCGTAGTAAATAAGTATGCCCTCGTGGCGTAAGCCATTTAATCACCCTCACTACGGTAGTTATTTAAATAACTACCTTGTAAGGGTGATTAACCTATACGTACACCCTCTCAAAACACTGTGTAACTAATAGTAGGACTAGCCAGCATAACTCGGGTTGACAAACGAAAGGCCACCCTCCATGCACATGTCTAGGCGGTGATGCGTGGCATTGCGCATAGGACCCAGGTCACATTGTTAAGCAACCTTTTTCACGGAGAGTCCTTGGATGGGTGACCGTGTCTGGAGTTTCTACGACTTCAGCCCTGCCCCACAACGAAGCACATATGACACGTGTTGCCTCACCTTGGGCACGTCTGTTTGTCAAAATTGCCTCAGTTCAACCAGCAGTTATTGGGTACCCGGTGGGATAAGTCATATGACTGTTAACTTTGTAGAGCCTCACATCTCGGGTTATCCGAGGAAATAATGTCCGTTGTGCTGTACGTTAGAGCCAGAGCATGCTCAGTCGGCGGACAAGCCGTCTTATTATTATTATATGTCCTTCAAGATCAGATAACTTTCGGGGTATGTTGATGGCTTTGTCTTCCTTCAGTTCATGCCGGTAATCAACGGACTGCTCAATACCACATTCGTCACCACTCGCCCCTTTCCGTAACCCGCTATTCGGCTTGTCCCGGAATAACACGAGTTGGTCACGAATGCTCAATGCTACTAAATAAATCCAGAGTCGGATTGTAACCATCTCAGAACTCAAGTTATTTATTGCAAACAAACAATTGTAACAATGTAAGTAATATTTTTTATCACCAGAATGGCTTGGTTGCTCTGTAAAAGTAATACCCAAACATGCAACTGTCTTCATAATTTAATCATCGCGATTTTTATTTCGGGGTGGTGGGGTAGCCTAATGGTTAAAGCGTTGGCTCGTCACGCCGAAGACCCGGGTTCGAATCCCCACATGGGTACAATGTGTGAAGCCCATTTCTGGTGTTTCCCGCCGGGATGTTGCTGGAATATTGCTAAAAGCGGCGTTAAACCAAACTCTGTCTGTCTGTGATTGTTATTTCGTGATTCTATGTCTAGTTGCGAGGACAACAGTGTTCACGTCCTAAGGAAGGGAAATAACTCTGTTGGGCTTATCGCTTGATCATGACCAGCTCGAGCATTCGCTACTGGCTAGCGAACAGTCATCTCCATGTAACAGTATCGTCATTGCATCAGTATCACACGTGCGAAGTACCGGTTAATTACAATTCCGGTATTTTTTCCCTTCGGTATTTGACAACAATAAAGGACAGCAAAAAGAAAATTCTTCACAGTAAGTAACATAAGAGAAAAAGTAAAGAAAAGTTATGAACCCAATTATTTTTAAGTTAATCGGGGGATGTCACACGATCTATGTAATAGCAAATTCAAGTTCACAAACATTAATTGTGTCATTCCCTATCAATCTACTGTAAAGAAACACTCCAATAATCACACAACCAATTATTGGAGGTTACTTTATGATATAAATGTATATTATTTCACGAATGGCATGAGAAATTCTGAAATGGCGATAACTGTTACAGTTATTTGTGAGAAAACATCTATTTGTACTGCCATGATTCCCTTCCGCCGCGTTATATAAAAACATTATCGGCGGCAGTGAACGGGCTGGACACATCGGCAAATAGCTAATTAAGTATCATAGTTAATTCTGTTTCATTAACGTAACGAACGGCAGAGTAATGTTTGTAAATACCGCTAAATTAAGGAGATAGGTGTGCGGCAGCCAGTATAGATCTTAACGGGATATTTACTGCTCGTACAAATATTGATATGGAAGCAGTCTCGACTTGATGAAGAAATGATGACATGAGCCATTAAAACTAGAGTGTTCTCTTCAAAACAAAGTAGGGGAACTTCATTTTTAATTTGCGATTGTTAAAAATTGGGAGATCTATCGGAGGCAATCAATGATGCTATGATAGTACTGAATGTTTGGAGAGTATATATCGTGACTTGCACTTCCTTATGACCTTAGTTGTCTGTACCGTAATCGCTCTTGAAAGGTGATAGGTGTATGACGCGAAAATTGCATGTGCGTTTTCTTTTCCAAACAAAATATAACGGCTAGAAACAAACACTAAAAGTTTTTTTTAAATCTCGTTTTTATTTCCAGTTCTCACACACACACACACACACACACACACACACACACACACACACACACACACACACACGATACTGGGTTGAGGTGGTATCCAAAGTGATATGCACGCACGCACGCACTCACATATATACATACATGCATGCACACACACGCACGCGCTCGCGCGCACACACACACATGCGTTGTGTTTAGGGGTGGTTATACAAGAGAAATGATGTGGCGTTAATAATAACATATCTGTGTTTGAAAAGTTTGCTACAGCTTCCTATTCAAATTAAAAGTCCAGGTTGCCCTACCTTTTTTAACTTTGAGAGTATATTTCCGAAACATATTAACAAGTGTTGAATGTGCCAAATTTATTTTCGCATACTCGGGTCCTCGTGTGAAATGAATAACTGACACTGTTAAAGTCTGTTTGTTGTGTAACGATGTCCACAGCAATAGTCCAGCTGTATGGCGGCGGTCTTTAAATAAGCAAGTCTGGACTAGACAATCCAGAGATCAATAGCATGAGCATCGATATACACAATTGGGAATATATGACATTCAGCGGCTTGCCTACAACTCGTTCCCGCTAGTCGTCTTACGAAAAGCACCCAATAGCTGATAATTAATTGATAGTAAGATGTTTCACGCCGCACTAGACAATATTCCAGCTATATAGTAGTGGTCTGTAAATAATCGAGTCTGGACCAGACAGCGTCATACCAAAGACGTTAAAATATGGTACTTGTTGGTCCCTGCCTGGCGCTCGGCATTAATGGGTACAACAAGGACTGGTCGGCTCGGAGTCAGTATAATGGGTCTGAGTGGGGTATTCATGCTTCACTGCGGCATGGTATCTCAGTGGGCTAGCACTATAAAACCCATTCGTCACCACTCGCCTCTTTCCGTAACCGCTATTCGGCTTGTCCCGGAATAAAGCGAGTTGAACACGAATGTATAAAACCAGCTTAAGTCTGGGCTAGTACAAGCAGCCGCACATACACATACACACGCATGCACGTCGTCATATGAGCGAAATATTCTCAAGCACGACGTTAAACCAAATTTCACCTCACCTGAACCAGACAATCCAGTGATTGACAGCATGAGCATCGATCTACGCAATTGGGATACGGTGACATGTGTCAGCCAAGTCAGCGATCCTGACCACCCGATCCCGTTAGTCGCCTCTTACAAGCAGGGGTTGCAGTTTTAACCCAGCTGTTCACGGTTACAGCTGCATGACAACCCCACTTGTCTTTCAGTTTCTCTCTCCACAGCTCTGGTACATACTCTGCTGTTATCGCTAACGTCAAAACTATGAGGTGTCGTTGACGTAGTCGAATATACACTCAAACACTGTTTTGATATTAGTTTATTTTCTAAATTTACAAATTTGTATGTAGAAAATATGATTTGTAATGACCATGGAATAATATGTACAAGAGTCGCAATAATTTATCATTTCAAAGATAAACTGACCAATCGATGACTATACACACTAACAGGTTAGTAGAATTTCACATCCGTGCCATTTTCATGAAAGAAAGTCTTTGTTTCGATTCTTTGAGAACAGCGGCAAACTGCCCAAGATACGTCGGGTGGTGAGTGAGCTTAGTTTTACGCCGCTTTTAGCAATATTCCTTCAATATCACGGCGGGGGACACCAGAAATGGGCTTGACACATTGTACTCTTTAACATCAAGACTCCCCCACCGCCCCACAATTGTTTTGTACGCTGTGAATAAACACTGATGGTTCTAACTGTACCCTGTAATTGCATCTTGTATTCAGAAACTACTCTATCACTAGCTACAAATCGGTCATAAATAGTTACCAAATAACTCTACATGCATATTCAAAACAGCGCCGCCATTGGCACGCATATACTTGGGGGCTATTTCTAAGTGAGGGCGGCGGGGTAGCCTAGTGGTTAAAGCGTTTGCTCGTCACGCCGAAGGCCCGGGTTCGATTCCACACATGGGTCCATTTCTGGTGTCCTCCGTAGTGATGTTGCTGGAATATTGCTAAAAGCGGCGTAAAACCAAACTCAGTCAGTCAGTCGTAGACTGACAGTGTGGTTTTACGCCGCTTTTAGCAATATTCCAGCAATGTCATGTCGGCGGACACCAGAAATAGGTTTCTCACATTGCACCCGTGTGGGGATTCGAACCCGGGTCTTCGGCGTGACGAGCCAACGCTTTAACCACTAGGCTACCCCACCGCCCCGTCAGTCTACGAAGTGATCATAGCAGTAAGATGATCGTAACTCACATACGTGATCGTAGGCTTACGATACTCGTGGTGCTGAGATTGTTTGAGAAACACAGCCCAGGTGATATTCATCCCTTGGGAAAATGAGCTAACGGACATCAAGGAAACTGGACCTGGACCTAGTGTTAGGATGGTCGTAAGTGCCATACATTAACATTAACTTACGACTATCTTAGCTCTAAGAGAGCTTAGAAACCTCGGACCAGATTCCAGCAATATCACGAGGCATGATACTTGGAGTGAGTTTAGTTTTACGCCGCTTAGAGCAATATTCCAGCAATACCACGGCGGGGGACACCAGAAATAGGCTTCACACATTGTACCCATGTGGGGAATCGAACCTAGTTCTTCGGTGTGATGAGCGAACGCTGTAACCCAAGGTGCTTGAAGTAAGACTCATAGGAATCAGATTAATGTCGATTAGATAAATTTGTGATTAACAGGTCTGCATATTTTTGGTCTGACAAAATAGACGTTTCAAGAGATTTAAATGTTCAAACCAAATAACAATTTTACAATCCAGGGCCCTGTTCCTCAAAGCGATCGTAGCGCTACGACTGTCGTAAGTCTATGTTAAAGTGTGAGAGTTACGATCATCTTAGCGCTACGATCGCTTTGTTGAACGGGGACCCTGTTTCATTTCGAAAACGAACGGCATGTCAATCGTCTGTGGTATAAACTGAGAAGAGTGGTTAAAGGGATATTCTAAAGGCTCCGCGGACCACCAGTTTTGTGGAGGATTCGCTTGAAAATGAACACATGTTGAAAATGCTGACATTTAACTGCTCCTATACCTATAACATTACAATGGTCGATATCCTCAACACTCGTTATCACATTTCCCCGCCGAATGTTGATGTTGTCGATCCAAGTAGGTGAGGTAAAGGATGCCCTGTTAGATAAGCATTCGTCACCAATCGCCACTTTCCGCAACTTCCAAGAAGGCTTGTCCCGGAGTAATACGAGTGGGTCACGAATGGTATGACACAATTCGTGACTATTTCGTGCTATTCCGTGACTAGCCGAATGCCGCATTCCGTTCCATTCGTCACCACTTGCCCTTTTCCGTAACCTCCTAGAGGATCGCTACTCGGCTTGTCCCGAAATAACAGGGGTTGGTCATGAATGGAATTTGGTATTCGGTTCGTATTCCATTCCATTCCATTCCATTTGTAACTATTCGTGTCATTCCGGCAAGCCGAACAGCGATCTTCTTGGAGGTTACGGAAAGAGGCGAGTGGTGACGAATGCAAAAACCAATATTCTTCTTGCTTACGGAAAGAGGCGAGTGGCGATGAAGAAGAACATGTAGTCATTCGCAGTTCTCCTACAAAAAAGGACAACCCAATTTTTATATTCATTTTACTATGGCTAATCAGTCACTTTATGAGAAAAAATATATAAAATAATGTGAGAAGTCGGGTGGTCTTTAACGACGTTGTTAACATCCGCTCAAGACAAAAATCACAAGTACAGTTTTGATTTTTTGCATATTTCAACAAAATAATAGGATTTCAACATCATGCTTACTATTTCTAATGACAATTAACTTGTGTCAAATACATAATAGACACGCATATAGTCTGCAATGATCTTTCCTGCCCTGGGGTGAGTGAGCGGGGGGACACCAGAAATGGGCTTCACACATTGTACCCATGTGGGGAATCGAACCCGGGTCTTCGGCGTGACGAGCGAACGCCTTAACCACTAGGTTACCCCACCGCCCCTCCACTACTCTTAAAGGCAGTGCTGATTTGCATAGGAACAGTATGACTGACTGACTGAGTTTGGTTTTACGCCGCTTTTAGCAATATTCCAGCAATATCACGGCGGGGGACACCAGAAATGGGCTTCACTCATTGTACCCATTTGGGGATTCGAACCCGGGTCTTCGGCGAGACGAGCCAACGCTTTAACCACTAGGCTACCCCACCGCCCCGGAACAGTATGAGATGGACAAAGCACAATAACGGAAAAGAGGTAATCATTCAAAGAAAGTCACCTTAAAAATTATCCCAAATCAATAACACCAGTATAAATGGTTTGAAATTGGGTGATTAAGAGCGATTTGAATTTCAGAGGGAAGGGAGGAGAAGATATGTTAATTTTTCATTTTGAAAAAGTAAACAAGACATCGGCACATGTAGGTAGAGGACGGTTTGATATACGGAAGACAAATGATATATGTGTGATATAGGTTTATAACATGTATAATCAGACTGTGAAACTGTCACGTCCTTGTTTATTATTCTGGATGAGAACGAGTGAGTTTAGTTTTACGCCGCTTTTAGCAACATTTTTTAGCAATATCACGACGGGGGCCACCACATAGTGTAATCAACGTGGGGAATCGAACCCGGGTCTTCAGCAAACGTTTTAACCACTAGGCTACCTCCAGCGACCCGGCTGGTTAACTGATGTGCATAATTATGGAAACCTCCACTGTGAATGGAGTATCGATTAAAGGCAATATATACACAGGACACGTTGATGAAACAATCGGAAGGAATGGATATACGTACAGGCATGTTGTACACGAGCAAGACCTTAGGGCAAACCTGGGCTTTATAACAAGGACTATTTACACCTCTCAGAGACACATACTGGAAGTAGAGTCACCTCGCTTCACTAAAACACTAAAACCGCTGGGTTCCGCGGTTGAGAAGCACCATATGTGATGTAAATATTACAAAATTACGTTACGATTGTGAAGCGGTCGGCAAGAAGTATACATGTATCTTTCAGGTTATATTTCTTAAGGCAGGTTCTCAGAATTTGGCAAAACATGCGTACCTTTTCCTCCAACACCAGGTGTCATGATTTCCTTTTTGGCGTTTTGAATTACGAAGTGAAGATTGATAAGTCAACGAGAGCGGCCAGGGCCCCGTTTCACAAAGCTCTCGTAAGCCTAAGATCTCGTAACGTTTCTCGTAGGAATCGTACCACCGACGCTGTAGCATAGACTTACGACAGCCGTAGCGCTACGACAGCTTTGTGAAACGGGGCCCTGGAACACAACCGTGTTCCAAACGTGATCTTAGCTCTAAGCCTGGTTTAGTGTTAAAGGGTGCCAGTTGTGATCTGCCTGCTACGATAACTTTGTAGTGCGAGCGCAGGTAATTAAAATGGGAACGCAAATTTACGGATTATGTGTCAGCTTTGAAGACGTCTAACGTCACTTTCAGCAGTTTCTCGATCAGCGTTCGTGGTGAGCTCCATACCTATCACCCATTCGTGTTATTCCGGGACAAGCCAAATAGCGGCCTTCTTGGAGGTTACGGTTGGTTGGTTGTCAGCAATATTCCAGCTATATGGTGGCTGTCTGTAAATAATAGAGTCCGGACAAGACAAACCAGTGATCAACATCATGGACATCGATCTACGCCATTGGGATACGATGACATGTGTCCCAACTCAGCGAGCCTGACCATCCGATCCCGTTAGTCGCCTTTTACGACAAGCATAGGTTGCTGAAGACCAATTCTAACCCAGATCTTCACGGGTTTGGAGGCTCTGGAAAGGGGCGAGTGGTGACGGATGACATATTACTCATCCATTCGTCATCACTCGCCCCTTTCCGTAACCTCCAAGAAGCTATTCGGCTTGTCCCGGAATAACACGAGTGGGTCACGAATGATTACTCATCCCGGACTTAAACACAGAAATCACCGAGACGAGGAATCACTACCCCTGCCTCCAAGCATGCACTATGATTATGAGGAATTGTAAAGTAAATAACACATACATTAGTACATAAAGCCACATAAAACACAGGACAGTTTCTCATTACGAATAAATAAGAGTAAGTATTTTTAGGAAACACAAACCTAACTTCAAAATCATAGTTAATGAAAATAATAACATGTGGGATTTTCCGATTTCAAATCACGAACAGCATTGCTGTGGTTGCATCAAAAAGTGCAACATAGCTCTAAAAATAAGGGACGGGAACCGAATTGAGAATGCAGTTTGAAAAGTGAGTGAGTGAGTTTGCTTTTACGCCGCACTCAGCAATATTCCAGCTATATGGTGGCGGTCTGTAAATAATCGAGTCTGGACCAGACGATCCAGTGATCAACAGCATGAGCATCGATCCAGTTTGAAGAGAAATAGGATGGGTGATGGGTGACGCGAATCACAAATTCCATATGTGGCTTTATCATAATGGAGTGCATTTGTTCAGCTGCATAATTCTACACCAACGAATACATGGTTTTCCCTGTTAACATGCTGAAATAGTTTGTACACCGTACAGATGCATGTACAGACCGTGTACGTGGCTATCCACCATACTTCTCAGAGAATAAACATCTCCTTCAATAACTGTTCATTCCAATCCTTCAGAATCAGATGAAGCTCTCAGCCATTGCTTCCTGTTCCGGAAGCTTGAACTTTGACCCGGCTTCTGGTGCCGCCGAGCTGTTATAACTTCGCTCGCTGCTGTAACCACGTGATCGGTCACGTGGTTCGTAATTGTCCCGTCTGTTGTCACCATTGTCATTGTAATGAAGATTTTGAGGTCGGCTACGAGGAGCATAAGCGTGCCGTTCCTCGTAATGTTCATTTGGGCGTTCATACACATGCCTTGACTGACCACCTTCGTCATAGTCGTATCCTCTGGATGGCTTCATTTTGGAAGCTAACTCCTTATGTTTCCGAATGATATCATCGTTATCGTCCAGACGGAATCCGAGATTCTCGTGAGCTCTCTGCGTTGTCGTGCTGCCGTATTTGTCCATTGGATCATTATGGTGACCATGTCTTTCCCTCATGTAATCATTTGCTGGCTTCCGGTGGCCATCTTGCCTCCGGTTGCCATAGTAACCACTGAAACCATCATCGTCAGCTCCCGAGTAGCCACTGTCCGCACCCCCTGTTGAGTGAGAGGACCGGTCACTATCCCTGTGGGGGATCTGGTCAAACGGTTTGGGCACATCAGGACCTGAATTAATGTTGTAGTAGCTGTCGCTGGACGATGTCCGGCCCCGACTGTTGTCCACCACGGTGATGTTTGGATAGAGATGACCATTGCCATAGCCTTGCTCTCTTTTCTCCTGCAAACGAGGTTGGTAATTATCTCCCCTTCTCTGGGGTCGGACAGGCTGTCTGGTGTCTGAGGGCAAATTGCGTCTGGCAGGGCTAAATCCACCGTCATCCTCCACAAACGATGTTTCAACCTCCCTAATGTCTATGCTATCGTCTTGACCACTTGTTGCACTCTGCATACGTATTTTATCATCGGGTTTTTCTCCCGCCCCTTGGGAACTGTCGCTGGCCTTTGGTTGTCGTCGTTTCTTCCGCCGGAAGCTCTCGTACAAGCGGCCAGCTTGCGCGTAGTTGTAAGTCTCGGGTCGTTCCTCTCCGATATCGTCTAATGGCGAGATCTCGTTTACCGTCCATCCGTGCAGCACATCTCGTATTTCCTCTGAAATATACGGAATGGAATACGGAATGGAATAAAGAATTGCAATGTCAGCTGTTTGCAGTAACGTAAAACACGTGAAGGTCCGGGTTGGAATTGGTCTTCATCAACCCATGCTTGTCATAAGAGGCGACTAACGGGTGGTCAGGCTCGTTGACACCTGTCATTGTATTGCAATTGCGTACATCGATGCTCGTGTTGTGATCGATGCTCATCACTGGATTGTCGGGTCCCGACCAGATTGTTTACAGACTACCGTCATATAGCTATAATATTGCTAAGTGCGGCGTTAAGCGACAAACGGCAATCGCAAAACGAACGTCTGCACCAGATTATCAAGTGAACGACAGCATGAGCATCGTTCTACGCAACTGGGAAATAGAGAATACTACACGAGGTCTCGTTAAATACGAAACGAGTGTCCTTCCTATGGTATCAGACCGAGCGAAAGCGAGGCCAGAAACCAAAGGAAGGTCACGAGTTTCGTATAATTCGTATGTTATGAGACCGAGTGTTAGACCGTTAGAATGTCAGGTCAAGTCGTTACGACACAGTTCAACGCGATACGACACTCGTGTGACGTACAAGATTACTATGTAACTACCCATGCGTTGACCATGTGGGTAATAAACGATCATATGCATCAACATAGTCAGTGTGCCCGACCACACGATCCTGCTGGGCGCTTCTTCATGACCAATTCTAACCTGGCTCTTCATGGGGAACATATATGACCAGAATTCCAGCTTTATTACGGAGTTTCATGTTTAAATGGTAGGAAACAAACCCAGAACCAGGACTGGACCTGGAATTCGAACCTTCAATTTGGTAGGTTCCTGGAGCGCATAAGGACTGATTGACTGAGTTTACTTTTAAGCCACTTTTAGCAATATTCCAGGAATATCATTACGAGGGACACCAGAAATGGGCTTCAAACTTTGTACCCATGTGGAGAATCGAACCCTGGTCTTCGGCGTGACCAGCGGACGCTTTACCCACTAGGGTACCCCACCATCAAAGGAACACCTAAGTAAGCAACCCTACACATACCAGTGCGACGAAATAGACATGTGTCACTCATTACAATCTCACAAATACGTACCTTCTGTTATTGCTGGGATCTGTCCTCTTAGCACCTTGTTTTGCGGATTAGAAACACGTTTTATTTCGTTCTGGTTGATGTCCGCAAAGTTGAAATTCAGCTCAGTACACTGTCGAAACAATATTATGGAAACATCAATTAAAACATAACGTAAACATTTTCAGGATAAAATTTCATCTCATACAGGCGACGTCTACCAACTTGCTTGATTTGACTCTTTTTCTGAATGTGGTTGCTTGTGTTAATATCGCGGTATTGGTGTAGGCAGCTTTTAGAAACATTCAAGTATAACCACGGACAGCAATATACCATTGTTCTCATCATTCGTCACCGCTAGCCCCTTTCGGCTACCTCCCAGAATCGCTTGTTCTGGAAGAACACGAGTTGTCTCAACCGAACCGCTCTAACAGCGTAAGGAGCTGACGCATCCACTTGAGTAAACCTAAGATCAAAGCGGCCATTCGTGTACTTGTCTGCTAAATATCAAGGTTATCGGCCAAATTCATTTGTTTTTGTTTGTTTGTTGCTTAACTCCAGCAATATTCCAGCAGTATGTCGGTGGTCTGTAAATATTCGAGTCTTGTTTAGACAATACAGTGATCACCAGCATGAGCATCGATCTACCCAACAGGGATACGATAACATGTATCAACCAAGTCAGCAAGCCTGACCACCCGATCCCGTTAGTCGCCTCTTACGACAAGCATGGGTTGCTGAAGACCAATTCAAATCCGGATGTTTATGCTTCTGGGCCAATCCTAATCCTTATCTTCACGGCCCGGGGCCTATTCTAACCCTTATCTTCACGTGTCCGGGCCTATTCTAACCCTGATCTTCACGTGTCCCGGCCTATTCTAACCCTGATTTTTAGGTGTCCGGGGCCTACTCTAACCCTGATCTTCAAGTGTCCGGGGCCTACTCTTCAAGTGTCCGGGGCCTACTCTAACCATGATCTTTAGGTGTCCCGGCCTATTCTAACCATGATCTTTAGGTGTCCGGGGCCTACTCTAACCCTGATCTTCAAGTGTCCGGGGCCTACTCTAACCATGATCTTTAGGTGTCCGGGGCCTACTCTAACCATGATCTTTACGGGCCGGGTCCAACGTACCACTGGGGACAAGAATGTTGTTGGGGGTTCTTCTTCTTCAGAGCGGAGACTCCCAGGGAACCTGATGACGACCTCTGCGAACTCCCACTCTGCGTACTGGAGGATGGGGAACCGCATCTCCTCCTCGGGAAACAGCTCCGTGTGCAGCCGCTGCAGCAACGTCCCGAACTGGAACTAGAACAAAGACGTCGACATTCAGTATATTGTATTGATTATCTCGGTTGGTCGGTTGCACTCAGCAATATTTCAGCTATATGGCGGCGGTCTGTAAATAGTGAGTCAACCAAGTCAACGTGCTTGACCACCCGATCCCGTTAGTCGCCTTTTACGATAGGCAAGGGCCGCTCAACACATATTGTAACCCGGATGTTCCGGTTAAAGCGCTCCTACTTACCCGAAGGACGAAAGGGTGACCTTTGTCCATAGCGTTCTTTGCGGCATCACAACCCATTTGTATTCGACTGAGAATCTTGGGGTAGGTTTGGTTGATCAACAGCACCCAGTTTTCTGAAGAAAAGATAATATTTTTTCTGAATTGAAAAAATGTATCGGAAATCATGCTATTTGTGAGACCCGATGACATGTTTTAAGAAAATATTTGAATTGAATGCTTGACTGAAGACAATGTTGTCTTTTACGCGTTTACGCCAAGCATTTAGCAGCCTCCATTTTCAAGAGTGGTTCATTTTTCGTATGCTAATGGGGAGATAAAACAAGCAGGGTCAGTGGAAAACTACTCTGCAACTTTTCCTTGCCAACAGCAACCTCCATGGTCACACATATGAATTTTCTCAGATTACTACTTACTGTCGTTGGGGAGGATGCCGCAGCCCAAACCGACGGAGCCACACCCGACGCCGGAGTGCGACATGCACTGCAACACCAGGGGGCGCTTTATCAACTCTCTCGTTTGAAGATCTCGATTTCCTCAATCGTCTCCATTCGGTAGACTCTGTGGAGCGAAAGCACAATGTCAGTTAGTACATCCTGTGGGGCCAACACACAAGGTCAGTAAGTGCACCCCGTGTCAGTTCACCCCTTGGAGTGAAAAGACGAAGTCAGTTCACCCCGTGGAGTTAAAAAACGAAGTCAGTTAGTACACCCCGTGGTCAGTTCACCCCGTGGAGTGAAAAGACGATGCCAGTCAGTACACCCTGTGGAGTGAAAAGACGATGTCAGTCAGCACACCCCGTGGAGTGAAAAGACGAAGTCAGCCAGTTCACCCCGTGGAGTGAAAAGACTTAGTTAGTTAATACACCCAGTGGAGTGAAAAGACCAAGTTAGTTAATACACCCTGTGGAGTGAAAAGACGAAGTCAGATTGTACACCCCATGGAGTGAAAAGACGATGCCAGTTAGTACACCCCATGGAGTGAAAAGACGAAGTTAGTTAATACATCCCGTGGAGTGAAAAGATGAAGTCTGTTAGTACACCCCGTGGAGTGAAAAGACGAAGTCAGATAGTACACCCCGTGGAGTGAAAAGACGATGTCAGTCAGTACACCCCGTGGAGTGAAAAGACGAAGTCAGTACATCCCGTGGAGTGAAACGACTTAGTTAGTTAATACACCCAGTGGAGTGAAAAGACCAAGTTAGTTAATACACCCTGTGGAGTGAAAAGACGAAGTCAGATTGTACACCCCATGGAGTGAAAAGACGATGCCAGTTAGTACACCCCATGGAGTGAAAAGACGAAGTTAGTTAATACACCCCGTGGAGTGAAAAGATGAAGTCTGTTAGTACACCCCGTGGAGTGAAAAGACGAAGTCAGATAGTACACCCCGTGGAGTGAAAAGACGAAGTCAGTTAGTACTTCCCGGCGAGTGAAAAGACGAAATCAGATAGTACACCCCATGGAGTGAAAAGACGATGTCAGTCAGTACACCCCGTGGAGTGAAAAGACGAAGTCAGTACATCCCGTGGAGTGAAAAGACGAAGTCAGTTAGTACACCCCGTGGAGTGAAGAGACGAAGTCAGTTAGTACACCCTGTGCAGTGAAAAGATGAAGTCAGTTAGTACACCCTGTGGAGTGAAAAGACGAAGTCAGTTAGTACACCAACGGTGATATGGTACACCTATGGGGCCAAACACAGTGCACAATGTTTTCAATCATTGTTGGAACGTGGAGCTATACAACTTGTTATTACATGACTTGATAATGTATAACACATTCCTGAAGACAACCAATACATGCTCGGATCACACAGGGCCGTCATTCATACACACTGCTTGGCTGTGAATCACAGTAATCAACCGGCACGACCGGTTCAGTATTTATACATCGGTGAATAAAACCTATATGCTCTGATTTGGTTGGTCGGTTTGTTGTTTCACGCTGCACTCAGCAATATTCCAGCTATATGGCGGCGGTCTGTAATAATCGAGTCTGGAGCAAACAATCCAGCGATCAACAGCATGAGCACCGATCGCCGCAATTGGGATACGATGACATGTGTCAACCAACTCAGCAAGCCTGACCACCAGATCCCGTTAGTCGCCTCTTACGGCAAGCATGGGTTAATGAAGATCAATTCAAATCCTGATCTTCACGGCCCGGGGCCTATTCTAACCCTGATCTTCACATGTCCGGGCCTATTCTAACGCTGATCTTTAGATGTCCGGGGCCTACTCTAACCATGATCTTCACGGGTTTGATCCGAGGGTAATCTTGTATTTTATTTGAGTATTTGTTTCACCTGATTTCATAAATACCCACGATCCATCCAGTCTCAATCCCTGTTGCCTCGTTCAGGCTGAGTGGCTGTGGGGTAGCCTAGTGGTTAAAGCGTTCGCTCGTCGGTCTGTAGAAACGGGTTCGATTCCCCACATGGGTGCAATGCGTGAAGCCCATTTCTGGTGTCCCCCGCCGTCAAAATGCTGCAGTATTGCTAACAACGGCATAAAACCATACTCACTCGTCCAGGCAGAAAGTCACGCTCTATGTGAGGCATTTGTTCAATGTCTGCACTAACAACATTCCAGCTGTATGACATCAGCCTATAAATAGCCAAGTCTCGGGGAAAGAAGCCGTTGATCGTAAGGCTCTGCAATTACCTGCGTTAACTGGGTACTCAAAACCAGCCATGCATAGAGCTGGAATATCCGACCCTCTTCAGGCAACTGTTGTGACATGACCCACCCCCCCCACACACACACCACTAACCCCAAACCCGCACGCACGCACGGACACACACACACACACCCCAACAAAAAATAAAAAAAAAACCCAAAAAACCCCCAAAACTCGGTGAGTGTGATTGGTTTGAGGCTGCCTCCCATAAATCAGTTATATGACATCGTGACGCAGGTCTTCTCAGCTAATTGCGGCGCCTTCGACGAATGACACGTACAGAAATATATATTTTGAAACCAAATAGGACAATTACGATGAAATATCTCTTCTTTCCTTATTTCCCAACAATTAATGTTATCATGGCAACTTAATGACGTACCGTCTCTGAGGGATGACGTTGACAAGCCCCGCTGCTGACTCCACCCCTCCACGTTTCTGCAAGCTGTTGGGGGGCGTGGGGGTCACCAGCCGGAACAGCACATACGGGTTGTTGATGACGTCCTCCAGGGGCGCCAGGAAGAACGCCGTGGGAAACTCGTCCATACTGAAAAAGTGAGAGTGACAAACTTATTTTTTAAATTTTTGATTGATTGTTGTTTAACGCAACAGTCAGTCTGTAAATAATCGAGTCTGGACCAGACAATCCAGTGATCAACATCATGAGCATCGATCTACACAATCGGGATACGATGACATGTGTCAACCAAGTCAACCAGCCCTACCACCCAATCCCGTTAGTTGCCCTTATACGTCAAGCATGGGTTGGAAAATCCTTGGTGATGACCATCGTAACATTTTACATTAATGATTTATTTTCTTTCCGCTTCCGTTTTGATTGTTTGTAGTTTACGCACCCAGCTATCTATAAACAGTGAGTCTATCCCAAAATCTTGAGTGAGTGAGTGAGTGAGTTTAGTTTTACGCCGCACTCAGCAATATTCCAGCTATATGGCGGCGGTCTGTAAATAATCGAGTCTGGACCAGACAATCCAGTGATCAATAGCATGAGCATCGATCTGCGCAATTGGGAACCGATGACATTTGTCAACCAAGTCAGCGAAACTGACCACCCGATCCCGTTAGTCGCCTCTTACAATGAGATAGCCCAAAATCTTGGGATACGATGACACGAGTCAACCAATTCGGCAAACCTGACCAAGCGATCCCGAAAGTGGTCTCTTACGACAACCATGAGTTACTAAAGACCAATTCTGACCCGGATCTTCATGTTTTTTTCCCCGCTGTCGAGTAATCTGACCCATAAAAGATACTTATGATAATGTCAGTATCTTATAGTACAGAGTAATAGTAAACGTTTTTCGAAAAGAATCGTAATTTACTGAAAGACCAAAAACCAAGCAAGAAAAGACGCTAAACCACAGATCGTCCTGTCATGACAAAAGACAGATTCGTTTGTTTGTTGTGCTTGTTGTTCAACGCCGCACTGAGCAATATTCCATCTATGGCGGAGGTCTGTAAATAATCGTGTCTGGATAACATCGTCTAACAAATCACGCCAATGTTTGCCCAACGGTCGAACCCGCCTCACATCCAAAAATAGTTGCAGACCGTATCCAAAAACGAGTGAGTGAGTATGGTTTTACGCCGCTTTTAGCAATATTCCAGTAATATCACGGCGGGGGACACCAGAAATAGGCTTCACACATTGTGCCAATGTGGGGAATCAAACCTGGTTCTTCGGTGTGATGAGCGAACGCTTTAACCACTTGGCTACCCCATCGCCCTCCACAGTATAGAAACACATGGATAAATACACATTCCAGCATTATAACACGATCGGGATGGTACCTACTGGTCTAAACCAATGTCAGAATGCATATACAGAATTGGTAAAAGATCGGTCTTTCAGGATAATCGTGTTGCCATGACTGACTGACTGAGTTTGGTTTTACGCCGCTTTTAGCAATATTCCAGCAACATCACGGCGGGGGACACCAGAAATGGGCTCCACACATTGTACCCAGTGTTACCATGAAGATGTAAACATAGGTTAAATCATAACCTATTAAGACGATCTCAGCCAAAATTGGTACCTTTTTTATGAGTAAAAACAATAAAACTGTGTGCAAAAAAATCTCCAAACAAAACAAATCAGATAGGTTTAAACGAGTAATTTGATTTTGTGCTATCAATAGTCAAGCTCCATAGAACCCTCGCTGTCAGATGATCAACGTCCCTAGCTTAGCTCGTAGGATAAAGGTGTCAAAAGGGCCTCCAGCATGCGAGTAATTTCTGACATCTAAATTCAGCGATGACGATATTGGCAGGATGACAATAATCCCTCTTACGCACTTTTAAACAAAACAATTCCCTGCTGATGACTTTTGAATAACATATATAGTGACGATTGTTTGAAGCCCATTCCTGTGTGTCCTGACTTGATATTGTTGGTATACTGCAAAATGCGGCGTAAAACCATACTCAGCATGGGAACAAATTACCGACAAACAGTATTGTTTTCCAACAAATTGGTTTCCTCCGATATCTACACATTTATCGTGTCATTCGTAACTCCTCGTGTCATTCCGGCAAGCCTTCTTGTAGCATTCCATTCGTGACCAACTCGTGTTATTCCGGGACAAGCCGAATAGCGTCTTCTTGGAGGTTACGGAAAGGGGCGAGTGGTGACGAATGAGAGAATACGATGTCCCGTGTAATACCACATTTATGAAACTCGTGAATGGTTTGGTATCCAACTCTCTTCAAGGGCACTAACTCAATTCAAAAGTTCAACTGATATAACGTTTGTGTAATATAAAGCAAGCTAGTGAATTTAGGGTCACTTGCAAAAAACCCAACTACATCATATAAATATGGTATTACACGCGTATGAAAAATTAACAATGGGGTATGAAAAAGGGACCAAATACTTCAACCAACATATTATCTTTTTTATATAAATGCTATTACACGCAACCGAGCAAAGAACAGTTGAAACATCTTTCCTAATAAGCAGACATTTTTTTTATCACGTTGGTTTGCTCATGTGACCAAGTGCAAATAGTTCCGACAGCACGCGATACTATTAAACAATGCGTAATAACCCTGTAGATTTATAAAACAGTGATATCTTCAACGGTTGAGTAATACACATTATTTCACAACTGAACTAATAAAATGTAGCGAGTTTTGAGACGACCCCTCCTGAGTTGTACACATCACGTCATGTAATGCCGGACTCCTTGTTGACTCAGCGTTATCAGGAGCATTGTCGGTTCGTGGAAAGGTTATCATGTTTATTTCTGACAGCGTGACTACACCCCAGCTAAAACCAACATGTCGTCATGACTGAATATTTCGAATATATACGAACACATTTTGAAGTACTGCTATATATACTACACACTTCAGTGAAACCCTAGTGGTAATTCAAATGTTTAAATGTCATATCATTTGTGTAATATTAACAAGCTACAATTAGTTAAAGTTACTTCAGATGTTAAACTGACATTTGCGCAGCATAGTGACTACAGGGGCACTTACTCAATTCCAAAGTTCAACTGACATAACAATTGTGTGACATTAAGTGGGTGAGTGAGTATGGTTTTACGCCGCTTTTAGCAATATTCCAGCAATATCAAGGGTGGGGGGGACACCAGAAATGGGCTTCATACATTGTACCCATGTGGAGTGTAATATTACGCAAGGTAGCAAATTTAAACTTGCAAAACACCTCCATCATTTAAATGTTAAGTTCAAAACTTAAGGTTTCTTTCCAATGAAATATCGTAATTTGATTACAAAGAGTATACTTTATCTAGTCTTTTAATGCCATTTAGAAATGACACGTAAGGGGGTAAATGTATGGAGGCCACTTATTTATAATGAGTGAGTGAGTATGGTTTTATGCCGCCTTTAGCAATATCACGGCGGGGGACACCAGGAAGGGGCTTAACACATTGTACCCATGTGGGGAATCGAACCCGGGTCTTCGGCGTGACGAGCGAACGCTTTAACCACTAGGCTACCCCACCGTCCCTTAATTGTAAGGAACATAAGTATACTCATTTATACGCCGTGTTCCTTATAAAGATAAAGATCTATAAATTTCTCCTCCCTTATTCATCAGACAAAAGTATTCCTTTATACAGCGTATCTTATATGTTCTGTGCCGAACGTGCGTGCTAAAATACGTGTGAAATTCGACTGTGGGGCAGCAAAGACTGAAAACTCAAAGTCTACATTTAAGTTGTGTAAAACGAAAATATTTTCGAGTATAAACGGTATCGAACTTAATATGCACATCTGACTCGTGAAGATCCGGGTTAAAATTGATCTTCAGTAACCCATGCTCGCGTAAAAGGCGACTAACGGGATCGGGTGGTCAGGCCCGCTGACTTGGTTGACACATGTCATCGTATCCCAATTGTGTAAATTGATGCTCATGCTATTGATCGCTGGATTGTCTGACCCTGACTCGATTATTTACAGACCCCCCCCCCCACCCCAAGCTGGGATATTGCTGAGTGCGGTGTTGAACAATAAACAAACATAAACAAACAAACAAATAATACGTATTTCTTCATCTTAACGAGGGTTTTTAGGACAAAACGTTTAAGAGCACAATATATCAAGGTTGATGGCGCATAGTAATTTAAGTGATTCCATGCACGAGTACATATATAATATGCATACATTACCATTTGAATATATATTCACTAACATGTGGCGCGTCGATTAAACCATTGGTCTTTCTGGGAAAAGATACCCCAGTAACCATGGTAACGTTACAGTCAATATGTTAGAGTTGTCGGTTTATTGTCGTAAATCATAAAAGATTTTTAAATAATTAATTAATAGTATCACGCACGGTCTATCTCACAAAGACACAGTTTGTTTACCATCATGTACATTAAACGCTCCAGTTTAATCAATATAAATACTAGTTAACACAGAATAGTATCCTTTCACTGTCAGTTGTATGGACGCCCGTGTTTACGGTCTTGAACCTTGTATCCTTTCACTGTCAGTTGTATGGACGTCCGTGTTTACGGTCTTGAACCTTGTATCCTTTCACTGTCAGTTGTATGGACGTCCGTGTTTACGGTCTTGAACAGTTGTATGGACGCCCGTGTTTACGGTCTTGAACCTTGTATCCTTTCACTGTCAGTTGTATGGACGTCCGTGTTTACGGTCTTGGACGCCCGTGTTTACCTTTCTTTATACCTGTATCCTTTCACTGTCAGTTGTATGGACGTCCGTGTTTACGGTCTTGAACCTTGTATCCTTTCACTGTCAGTTGTATTGACGTCCGTGTTTACGGTCTTGAACAGTTGTATGGAGGCCGTGTTTACGGTCTTTATACCTGTATCCTTTCACTGTCAGTTGTATGGACGGGGCCGTGTTTACGGTCTAACCTTGTTCCTTTCACTGTCCGTTGGCTTGTCACGCCGAAGACCCGGGTTCGAATCCCCACATGGGCACAACGTGTGAAGCCCATTTCTGATGTCCCCCGCCGTGATGTTGCTGGAATATTGCTAAAAGCGGCGTAAAACCAAACTAAGTCAGTCAGTCATTTGTATG